AGGTCAGACCAGGAAAGGATGGCACATAACAGCCGGCTCGCTTCAGGATCTCCATTGTTCGGGTTAGCTTTTTATTCCTGCTTTATTAATTAATTGAATGTAAACACTCCAGCTACCATGATAGGAGTTGAATTTGTGTCTTCAGAGCAGTTCTGGTCTTTAGATTACTGATGCAGTGACATAATCACAATTTACAGTATGCTTGCTCTTTGCTCTAAAGCTTGCGGTTTAGAGAATAAGCAAAACAGTTCAAGCACTGGGCATAACATTAACAGCTTCCTACAAGAGGGAAGCACTGGTTTGGACCGAGGGAAGCATGAGAGAATGGAACCAAAGTCACTCATGCTATTCATTTCAGATTTCTAGCAATGGCAGAATTTTGCCCTGACACTCACTTCTGATCTACTTTTGTAATGGACAAAACGTCTAAATTTAAAGCATAAACACATTTAATATGCAGCTGGCCCCCTGTTTAAGTTGACGTAGTTAAACCAACATCTGAAAAAAACTTTGTGAGCTAACAGCACTGTAATTATTTATTTGATTTCACAAGCACACTGACACAGCAGCTGCACTTTTGTACTGGTTTGGCTTTGTTTAAACCATTATGGATTATTTCAGGCTCAGAGCAACAAAGGCAAGTGAAGATTGAAAGAGGAAACCAAATTAAAAAAGATTATATCTTACCAAACAGGTACTGCAAAATATGCTGAGGTCCAAGTGCCCAGATTCAGCCAATTCCACGATTGTCTGTGATGCAAGAATAAATACAACAGTAAAGGGTGTATTATTTAAAATATGCATATAGAACATAATTGCTGGACCTATATTTATATCTTCCATTTAACAGGGAAAAATGTTACATTCACAAAGAACACAAGTTACTTGGCTGGAGTCACCATGTCTGCAGTGCTTTCAGAGAGAGATCATATACAATAAGGCAATTTGGTTTGAACAGACACTAAGATAACTTGCTTCAGGAGCGACAGCCCTTTGCTCGCTTTCTCTCAGAAATTTGAAAATCAACTCACAGGCCTCATCCCTATTAGTGAAGGGTTCCTACAGGAGAAGTCTTCCATTGGGCTGCAGCAATGAATTCATAAAGGAGAATTCAAAACCTACACCACTGTCTCCAGCAGGCAATATCTCAGAGTAAGGGGTCACCCATCTAGGACAGCGATGAGGAATTTCTTCTCTCAGACTGTGGTGAATCTGTGGAATTATTTGCCACAGAGGGCTGTTGAGGCTGGGTCACGAAGTATATTCAAGGCTGAGATAGATTTTTAATCAGGAAGGGAATCAAGGATTATGGGGAAAAGGCAGGTAAGTGGAGATGTGGATTATCAGGTCAGTCATGATCTTATTGAAGACAGAGCAGACCTGATGGGCTGAATCTCCTATATCTTATGCCTTTTGTGGTGTATTCGTTGTAACACTCCTATACTAGATTTATCCTGTCCCACTTGGGCTAAAGTCATGTTTTATTTAGGCTTATTTTATGGACATACTTGATAAGGATGCAACTGCTTTGAGGAGGGTAGAGATTCACTGGAATGATTCCAGGGATGAGGAATTATAGTTGAAGGGATGGATTATGAAATTGAGGTTGTTTATCTTGATACAGAGAAGTCCAGCAAAGCTGTTTAAAACCACGAAGGTGTTGGATAAAGTATTGAAGCTTTCTATTTCCCAGTGGCTGAAGAGTTGCTGTTGGAGGGCACAGATTTCAGGCTATTGATTAAAAAAATCCAGAGACAACATGAGAAGTTTTTTTTTGAGAAAACAAGTGATTAGAAATTGGAACGCACTGTCTCATAAGATTCAACCGTAGTCTTCAGAAGAAAATTGTATAAATAGTTGAAGGAGGAAAGGGATTAAAGGCAGACAGTCCCCAGGGCATGATGGCCTAGATCCTAAAGTCTTAAAGGAAGTGGCAGCAGAGACAGTGATGCATTATTCCAAAATTTCCTAGTTTCTGGAAAGGGTCCAGTGAATTGGAGAAATGTTAATATCAAGTCATTATATAAAAAAGGGAGGCAGAAAGTAACAAACAATAGAGCAGTTAGTTTTAATATCATTGGGAAATTATTATTATGTATTTCTGGACTTCCAGAAGACATTTGATAAGGTGCTGCACAAGATCATCACACAGGTTAGAGGTAATATGTAAGCTTGGAGAGAGGACTGACTAACCAACAGAACAGAGACTCTGCTGGCAAGCTCTAACTAGTAAGGTGCTACAGGGCTCAGACTTTACAGCCCATCTATTTACAATCTAAACTAATAACTTGGATATAGGGATAGAATGTATTCTGGCCAAATTTGCAGATGACAACTAAATAGCTGGGAAAGTAAATTGCAAAGAAGAAATAAGAAATTTACAAATGGATATGTGAGATTATCCATTTTCATTGGAAGAATGAAAACAAGCAACTTGTCTAAATGGAAAGAAACTTCAAAATGCCTCCGTTGGGGATCTGGGTTGCCTCATGCATGAATTGCAGAAAATACCCTAGATTCTGGAAAGGTTTCAGTGAATATAGAAAATGCAGGTATAGCAGGTAATAAAGAGGGCAAATGGAATTTTGGTATCTCTTGTGAAAAAAATAGAGTATAAATATTATAGAGTACATGGTGGAGCAGGCTCAAGAGGCTGAATGGCACCCTCCTGCTCCTAGTTCTTATGTTCTTAGTTGAGGTTTTGGAGCTCAGACTCATTCATGTGGGAGACTTGAGGATACTTTGCTCTGTCCTTGTCCACAATGCACCTGATCCTCTGACTCTGAGGAACGGAATTACATTTCCCACCACACTCACGCTAACAAATGCAACTGGCATCACTTACAAGTTAGTTTTGATCATCTGTGCTATCAAATCAGGCAGAAATATTTAGTTGAGCAATCAATTAGCCTGCTTTGCCTCAGGGAACATTTACAAACAGTGATGTAGCCAGCATTCTTGTCAAGTTGGCAGGTTTTGTAGGTCATTTTTGGAGTCACTTAATACCTTGCTTAGTTTTGTTTAATTATTTTACCCCAATGATAGAGTTACTAAATCCCTCAGGATGAAAGGTTTGGAGAATCATATGTCTAAAGTCATTTGTCGCTCTCAAGTGCTCAACATCTACCTCATAAAATTACTAAATTAATTGCAGCACAGATAAGTGTGAAGTATTACATTTTAAGGATAAAAATGAGGTGGTTAGATATTATTAACAATAAGAATCTAAACATAACAAAGGCACCTGAGAGTATAAAAACACAAATCAAAAAGGGTTTGATAACATCAACATTGCTATTTAAAAAAATCCAAACCAAGCCACGAGGCCTTAATTCTACATTTGAAAAGTAGGGAAGTTATGGTAAGCTTGATTCCAACTTTAGGAACTGAAGTAGGTCTTTGAGTTTGATCTGCCATCATTCAATGAGGTCATGGCTGATCTGTGACCTAACTCCATATACCTGCCTGAGGCCCATATCCCTTAATACCTTTGCTTAACAAAAATTTACCTATCTCAAATTTAAAATTAACAACTGATCCAGCACCAACCGCTGTTATGGAAGAAAGAAAACCTCTTCCACCCTTTGTGTCGAAATGCTTCCTAACATCTCTCCTGAATGGTCTGGCCCGAATTCTCACACTATACCCCTAGTTCTAGAATCCACAACCAGTGGGTGTAGTTTATCTTTATCTACCCTGTCTTTTCATGGTAATATCTTGAAGACTTTGATCAGATCATCCTATAGCCTTTAGCGTGGTCCTGGTCGCCATTATTAAAGGGACACAGAAGAAGTGAGGAAGGTGCAAAGAGGCTTATGGTGATGATACCTAACTGTGGGGAGAAGCCATACCTTTCAGAAGAGCCTGAGAACAGCTGCATCTCCTTCCTCTTCAAGAAAGTTGTGGTGATGGTGTGGTTGTGGTGGTTGTGGGTGGGGGAGGGAGGGTCACCTGATCAATGTTTATACAATTCTGAAAGTTTTCAATACAGTTGACAGAGAAAATAATGTTTCCTCTTGTGGGGAAGAGCATTATTGGAGGCGATCAAAATAGATAATCACCAAGAAATATAATAGCAAATTCAGAAGAAAGGTCTTCACCAAACAGTGGTGAGAAAGTAGAACTCACTACCACAGGGAGTGGTTGAAATGAACAGGAGATTGTTTTTCATTCTTTTCACTGGCAAAGCCAGCATTTGCTACATGTCTCTTCATAAAAACATAGGAGCAGAAGTAGGTCATTTGGCCCTTTGAGTCTGTTCTCCCATAAGAATAAGATCATCCCTGATCTGATTGTGGTCTCAACTCCAACTCTGTCTGTCTCTCATAACCTTCAGTTCTTTGTCTATAAGAAACTGTTGCAAATGAGTGGGGGTGTAGTCACATGCAGGCCAGACTCTCATACCCTCCACATGAAATGCTCATTTCTTTTCAATTCTGGCAGCAAAGTGTTGCCGTTAACCACCTTTACCCATCAGTATATCACAGATTAACATCCTTGTCTAAACTTCACAGCTTCACACATCAGACAAGGATATTGTTGCCTCTCACGTCTGAAAATTGGTAAACAAAGGATACAGAATAACAAAGAACAGGATGTCCCTGTATTAATATAGTATATGGTTTACAGTCCAGTTAATCAAAGAGATGAAGATGGAATAACTCCTCTAGTTCTGATAAATTATAAAACTGCCAAAATAGAGGAAAGTTTCATTAAATAATGAAATTAGATAACCACTCATCCTTCATTTTAGAAGGATGAGGGGGCATCTAATTGAAACTTACAGAATACTGAATGGCCGGGACAGAATGGATGTTGGGAAGATGTTTCCATTGGTAGGAGAGACCAGGACCCGAGCGCACAGGTTTAGAGTAAAGGGAAGACCTTTTAGAACGGAGATAAGGAGAAACTTCTTTAGCCAAAGAGTGGTGAATCTATGGAATTCACTGCTGCAAAGGCCAGGTCATTGAGTATATTTAAGACGGAGATAGGTTCTTGATTGTCAAGGGGATCAAGGGTTACAGGGGGAGAGCAGGAGAATGGGGTTGAGAAACTTATCTGCCATAACTGAATGGCGGAGCAGACTCGATGGGCTGAATGGCTGAATGGCTGAATTTCTGCTCCTATGTCATATGGTCTAAATATTTGTAATCCTTCCAAGGTTAGGTTGATAGCTTTTGAACACAGCAATTAAATCATTTGCTTAAAAACACAGATAATGAGCTGAAGAGAAAGGGTTCTATTCATTTTTTGGACTTAAAATTATAATCACCTGCAAATGAAACACTGGCATGATTTTAATTCAACACAAAATACAGCATTCCTTTTAATAGAATCTGCTTGTTAAAAGGATGGAATTTATCCCTTTGCTAAGGTTAATTCACATACTTTTTGACAGTACATGAATTACAGTCACTGATATTCCATCCCTCAGCTACACACATTATTCAATAGTGTGAGTGATAAGCAGTGTGGGACATAGTTACTGTGACCCAGTGTTCCCTTAAAAAATATTTTCATGGATTATAATGTAAGATTTATACTTTTGGGAACTACAAACCACCTTCTACCCCTTACCTTCTTCTTCTGCTCTTCTGTGGCTTTAATGACTCCTGGGTCTGACTTCCATGACTTTCCAAAATTGTAGAACAGTCCTACACTATTGACAAGAAATGGGAGGTGAACTGTCAGAACAGGAAGATGTTTTTTGGTGTTAAGGAATTAAAGGCTTAGGGACCAAAGTTTGGAACTGTAAGATTTATTCTTTCTTTCCATCACATTGAAGCTTCACAATAGTGAGTTCTGTAATGTATGCTTCCAGTACGTACAATATGTATCAGTAAACTTCTCACAGTCAGGAAGGAGACATCCATCCAGACTGAGGCACAGCCTGAGCGAGTGTATTGCATGGGGAATTTGAAGGCAGGTGGGAATTCAGTGCAGAGTAAAAGCTTTTTGCTTGCTTTTTTCAAGCTCATAGCTTCTAAGGCTTTTTTTTAGGATAAATTTAGGATTAACAGGATAAATTGAAGCCCAGGGTCAGGGGCCCAGCACAAGAGAGTGACACCACAGGTAAACCATTACTTGGTGATAGCTACTAATTTGACTATCTATTATAGATTACTTTCAGGGTGTGACGATGAGTGAGGCAGGTAGAAGAATCCAGGAGGTCGTGTTGAAGGAGACTCAGCCCCTGAGCTTGTCTAACAGGTTTGAGATTCTTGCTCCCTGTGTGGATGAGTGGGGGCTGTAGGGAGGATGAGCAAACTGACCATAGCACTGTGGGACAGGAAGCCATACAAGGGTGGGAGAACAGAGAAATGAAGGTGTAATCAGGACTAGTATAGTGAGGGGAATAGATACTGTTCTCTGTGGCCAAGATCAAAAATCCCGAGGGCTGTGTTGTCTGGCTGGTGTCCAGATTCAGCATATCTTACTTAAGAACCTGGGAGTGGGAGGGGTAAGATCCAGTTGTTGTGGTCCACGTAAGTACCAATGATATCAGTAGAAAGAGGAAAGAGGTTCTGCTGAGGGAATATGAGAAGCTAGGGGCTAAATTAAAAAGCAGAATCCAAAAGGTAATAATCTCTGGATTACTACCTGTGCTGCAAACACAGGGTCAACAAGATTAAAGAAGAAAACATATGGTTCAAAGATTGGTGTGGGAGAAACAAGTTCAAATTCATGCAACATGAGCATCAGCACTGGGGATGGAGGGAGCTGTTCCGACGGGATGGACTCCACCTGAATCATACTGGGTCCAGAGTCCTGGCGAATCATATACCTAGAGCCGTGGATACGCCATTCAACTAAATAGTTGGGGGTGGGGAGGGGTGTTCAGTTGCATGGAAAATTATGGAAGGAGGGCTCAGCAGAGGTGATTAAAGTCTCCAGAACAAGTAATTGGAAAGTGACTATGGCAAGGGTCAGGAATCTAACTTTGGACACAACAGATAAGGGGGCAGTCAAAACAGGACTGAGGGTGTTGTACTTGAATGCATGCAATAGATGTAACAAGATAAATGTTTCTATGCTTGTATGAGCTTGTAGCTCAGATTGAAATTGGCAGGTACAATACTGTGGGTATCACATGCAAGAATATATGTCCTATTAAAAGTACATATGGGCAGAGGGGACAGGGTTGCCTTGTTAGTAAGAAATTAAATTCAATCAACAGCAAGAAAGGACATGGAGTCAGAAGGTGCAGAGTCAGTGTTGGTAGAGTTGAGGAACGACAAAGGAAAAAAGACCATGATGAGAGTTATGTACAGGCCTCCTTGCAGTGGTCCTTACAACAATATGGTTGACTCTTAACTGCCCAGGCCACTGTGCAATTCATCCCATGAATGAATAAAAAAGCCAGGATGCGGGGAAGAAAATAAATCAGGTGATTGAAAAGGTATATAAGAAAGGCACTATTGCTATAATCATGGGAGACTTCAATCTGCAGGTGGACGAGGAAAATCAGGTTGGTGGCGGATCTCAAGAAAATAAATTCATGGAAAGTCTACGAGATGACAGTTTTTGAAGCAGCTAGCAGTACTGCTTGGGGAGATAGTTTGGGAGGCAAGGCAGAAATTCATTCCAAGGAAGAAGAAACATACTAACGGGAGGATGAGGGAATCATAGCTGACAAAAAAAAATCAGGAACAGCCTAAAAAGAGAAGAAAAAGCAAAAGGTATGTGAAGATTAGCAGGAAACCAGAGGATTTGGAAATCTTTAAAAACCAACAGAGGATAATTTAAACAGCAATAAGGGGTGAGTTGATGAAATATGGGAGTAAGCTAGTGCGTGATAAGAAAGAAGATTGCAAGAGTTTTTTTTAAGCTATCTAAAAGGTAAGAGAGAGGCAAGAGTGGACATTGGACTACTGGTAAATGAGGCTGGAGAAGTAGTATAGGGAGGACAAAGAAATGGCAGAGGAACTGAGTAGGTATTTTGCATCAGTTTTCACAGTGGAAGACACCAGCAGTACACCAGAGCTTCAACAGTCAGGGGACAGTGGAGAGTGTAATGGTCATCACTAAGGAGAAGGTGCCGGTGAAGCAGAAAGGTCTGAAGATGGTTAAAATCACCCAGACCAGATGGACTACACCCTAGAGTTCTGAAGGAGATAACTGAGGAGATTGTGGAGGCATTGATGGTGATCTTTCAGGAATCACTGGAATCAGGGAGGGTCCGAGAGGACTGGAAAGTGGCAAATGTAACACCCTTGTTTAAAGAAGGGAGGGAGATACAAGAGGGTTAACTATAGGCTGGTTAGCCCCTCCTTGGTCATTGGTGAGAGTTTGGAGTCCATTGTTAAGGATGAGATTGTGGAGTACTTGGAAGTGTAAGGTAAAATAGGGCAGAGTCAGCACAGCTTCTTCAATTTGGGTCAGTGGGGGGGATTTGTGCCTGACAAATCTGTTAGAATTCTTTGAGGAGGTAATGAGCAAGCTAGACAAAGGAGAGTGAGCAGATGTGATCTATTTAGATTTCCAGAAGGCACTTGGCAAGGTGCTGCACAGGAGGCTGCGAAATAAGGTGAGAGCCCATGGTGTCAGGGTCAAGGTACTGGCATGGATAGAAGATTGGCTTTCTGGCAGAAGGCAGAGAGTGGGGATAAAGGAGCCTTTTAAGGATAAAAGGATAAAGGATGGCAGTTGGTGACTAGTGGAATTCCATGGTGGTCTGTGTTAGGACCACAACTATTCATGCTATACATTAACAATCTGGACAAAAGAACTGAGGGCGTTGTTGTAAGTTTGCAGATGACACAAAGCTAAGCAGACAGAAAGGTAGTATTGAGGAAGCAGAGAGGCTGCAGAAAGACTTGGACAAGCTTTGAGAGTGGGCAAAGAAGTGGCAAATGGAAGAGAATGTGGGAAAACAACAGGTTAAGCACTTTTGTTGGATGAATAGGGGTGTACACTATTTTGTAAATGGGGAAAGGCTTTGGAAACCTTAAGTACAAAGGGATATTGGAATCCCCAATTCAGGGTTCTCCTAAGCTTAACATGCAGGTTCAGTAGGTAGATATGACAGCAAGTGCAGTGTTAGCATTTATTTCAAGAGGACTAGAAGACAACAGCAGAGATGTACTGCTGACACCGTATAAGGTCCTGGTCGGACAGCATTTGGATTATTGTGAGCAGTTTGGGCCCCATATTTAAGGGAGGGTTGCTGGAGTTAGAGGGGATCCAGAGGACATTTACAAGAATAATTCTGGGGATGAAGGACTTGTCATATGAGGAGCAGTTGAGGACTCTGGTTCTGTACTTGGAGTTTAGAATCATCCACTTGTGACACAAGTCAGAATACCAAACCCAACACAGCTGGAGAAATGCATCTTCCCAATTGGTACTTGATGAATATCACCATCCTCACAAACACCACCTCCACCAAATCTCGCCAAGAGAGAAACCCATGGGAAAGGAATAATCAGACCAACTTTAAAAGGATATCAGTCCACAGCCAGAAGAACCATGTAGCGTACATCCAGAATTTGGTTGCCAGATAGATTCCAAGAGGCAGTGCACTGTGCATAGAGTGATCAAAGAATGATCTGAAAGAGACAATAATTTCAGTACAATTCATGCTGCTCTTGCCTTCACTGTATTCATTGTCTCCAGAGTCTCACGTACAATGACAATGGGTTAAATAAGTGTACTTTTTGTTGTGTTTTGTTTAAAATCTGAGAGCTCTTGTCCTACTCACACTCATTGGAATCACAGAATGGTCACAACTCAGAAGGTGGCCATTTGTCAGCTCAAATCTGGATGCTGCTCAGGGGATGTGCATTTGGATTTGGACGACTTTAATTATTGAGGAATGACAAATGGTGCTGAATATTGTACAATCACCCACTTTTGACCTTATGATGGAGGGAAGGTCATTGATGAAGCAGCTGAAGATGGTTAGGCCTAGGACACGACCCTGAGGAACTCCTGCAGAGATGTCTTGGAGTCGAGATGAATAACCTTCAACAACCACATCCATCTTCCTTTGTGCCAAGTATCACGTCATCAGTAGATTGTTTTCCTCCCGATTCCCATTGACGCCAGTTTTGCTGGAGCTCCTTGATGCCACACTCAGTCAAATGTTGCCTTCGTCAAGAGCATTAAGTCTAAGCTCACTGACAGTGTCTCAGTTCCTCAGATAGCTTTCAGTTTGGTTTTGTAACTAACATCAGATTATCACTATTTAGAGTTCTGAGGAAGGGTCGCTTGACCCGGAATGTTAACTCTGATTTTCTTCTTCACAAATGCTGCGAGACCTGCTGAGCTTTTCCAGCAACTGCTGTTTTTGTCACTATTGACACCACTGTCTGAAAGGAGTACTTTAGTAGTACCTGTTTCTCATGGTGTTTAAAAAATATAATTCTTAGGATACAGGTATTACCTGATGACTCAATGAATAAATACACCATGTGATCAGTGCAGACCTCAATATAACTTACTGTCTCTTCCTAAAATTCTACACAAGATTTATTGCACATATCATAAGTGATATTTAGAATGGATTGCAATCAACTTGAGTATAAATATCAGATTGAACTTAAGAACAGCAATATGTTTACCGAACAATGTGAAAAATTTGGAGTGAACGGGAAACAGAAGTCTCAAATTGCCAAGTTTCACTTCAATCACTTACTTTGACAGAAACTGCACCATTGCCCAGACTCCACCATACATGAGTCCCTTTATTAACCAGGAATCAATGTCAAGATCAGCAATGAATCCCATCAACCAGATCACTAAAAATGGAGTTCCCAGCATCACCTTCTGACGAAATTCCTGTTGCAAAAAAAATGCAGTAACATGTGATCAAAAGACAAAACAAACATTTTTTTAAAAATTCAAAGAGGAATTCCAAACTTAGTAAAGTCAACCCCTGTTTTTCAGTGGTACATTAATGAATGAACAGGTGAAGGCATTCAATAAAATACCTGCTGCATGTGTTCAAGTCACCAAATGCACGCTGTCTCAAGTATTTTCAATTCAAACAAAAGAATTGCATCATCCTTCCAATTCCAACATGCAAGCATGAAAATATTACTGTCTTACATGTAATTAATTCCATTTATTAATTTGCATCGTTCCTCCTGCGTAGGTCAGTCACTGAAGATTAATCATTACAGCATGGTGTAAATAAAACTTCCATACATTTCTGGATCAGTTTATTTTTAACTATCAAATTTAATTTAAATAAATGCTAAGAGCCCTCAAAACATAATTTTGAGAATGTGGTAATGCTTGTTAGTTCATTCAAAACTGAGTTTTGGAGGCTGAGTCAGCCCTGAGCAACAGCAAGGCTCCGACAATAGCCCTCAGTCATCCCTGAGCACAGTGATTTGCGTTAAACCGTAAATCACTGCCTAAGTTCACTGTCACAGTTCACTGGAGAATTTAATAAACTTGTTTTGTCTTAAATCTCATCAAATAGTCACTTGGTAGAACTTTTTGCCAGTATGTCCCCACGACAATTAGTGGCTCAGAACCCTCCAAAACCAACAATTTTATTTTGAAAAATGTGTCATTGGATATAAAACACTTCGCGAAATCCTGACGTCATGAAAGGTGCAACAAATCAGCAAGTTCTTTCTTCCTCCTTTTCATCTTGCTCACCTTGTCTGCCTTCAGCCTTTTTAGGAAAGAAGGACTGTCAAAGCCTTTTGCTTGCCTTGCTTCTTGTAGATGGTTAATCATCCAAACATTTTTCCTCTGTTTAGCAAGATCTAATGGTGTTTCACCCTGTGAAAACAGAAAGTGCATGCAGAAACAAAAACTGGAGTTTCACATCACATGCTTGTAAACGGGACGACTTTTCAGTTGTCAACAAAACTGGAAATTAGAAAGAGGAGCAGGATTAGTCTACTTGGCCCTTCAGGTCACCTCTGCCATTCAATAAGATCATGATCTAATTGCCATTTCAACTTCACCTTCCTGCTCGTCTCCATCACCTTTGACTCCCTTGTAGATCAAAAATCTGAATATATTTAATGACTATGACTCCAGAGGTACAGAATTTCATAAACTAAGGATCCTTTTCTTTTCAATTCACTCGTGGAATGTTGGAATTACTGGCTGGCCAGCATTTATTCCCTGTCTCTCGCTGCCCTTGAACTGAGTGGATTGCTAGGCCATTTCAGGGGGCAGTTGAGAATCAACCACATAGCTGTGGATTTGAAGTCATATGTAGGCAGACAAGGTGAGGGTGGCAGATTTCCTTCCCTGAAGGACATTAGTCAGCCAAACGGGCTTTTCTGTCAATTGACAATGGTCGTTAGTAGTTTCTTATTTTCAGATTATTTTTATTAAATTGAATTCAAATCTCACCTTCCGCTGTGGCAGGATTTGAACCCAGGTTTCCGGATCACTACTTGAGTTTCTGGATTAATGGTCTCCCAATAATATCACTAGGCCATCGCCTCCCCTAAAGATATGTTTCGTCAGCTTAAGTAGTAGATTTTCTTTTTGGTCATGGCATGTGATTAGGCCAGCATTTTTCATCCATCCTTAATTGGCGAGAGGACAGCTCATAATCAACTCTATCACTGTGAGACTGGGGTCAAATAGAGGCTATACCAGGTAAGGATATCAGATTTCCTTCCCTACAGAACATTAGTCAATCAGACAGGCTTTTATGACGATTCACAGTGGTCACATGGTTACCATAAGGCAAGCTTTTAATTCCCAATTTTATCGATTTCAAATCTCACCGTGTGCCAAGCTAAGATTGGAACCCATCTCCCATATTATTTGCTTTGGTTCCTGGAATGCAAGTCCAGTGACATTAACACCATGCCACTACTTTGCCAATTCTGAAATGGTGTCCTCTACTCCAAGACTGCCCCAAAAGGACAAACATCCTTCAATAAGATCACCTATTATTCTTCCAAATTGCATTATACAGTCCAAACCAGCTCAACCTTTCCTCATAAAGCAAATCCACTATCAAGGAGTCAGCCCAGTGTACCTTCTCTGAAGTACCTCTAACAAGTATGATAATGTACAAGGCATGATTAGGAAGTTTGTGGGTGACACTAAATTAGGCGGTATTGTGGACAGCGAGGAAGGTCATCAGAAATTGCAGCAGGATCTTGATCAACTGGGGAAGTGGGCCAAGAAATGGCAAATGGAGTTTAATATAGATAAGTGTGAGGTGTTGCATTTTGGAAATTCAAATCCAGGTAAGAGTTTCATGGTGAAGGTAGGGCCTGAAGGAGCATCATGGAACAGAGGGACCTTGGAATTCAGGTGCACGGTTCTCTGAAAGTGGAGTCACAGGTAGACAGGGCAGTGAAGAAGGCTTTTGGCACACGAGCCTTCATCAGTCAGGGTAATAAGTATAGAAGTTTGGAAGTTATGCTGCAATTGTATAGGACGTTGGTGAGGCTGCATTTGGAATATTGTGTTCAGTTTTGGTCACATTGCTAAAAGAAGGATGTTATTAAACTGGAAAGAGCGCAGAAGAAATTTACAAAGATGTTGCTAGGACTCAAGAGATTGAGCTATAGGGAGAGGTTGGACAAACTAGGACTTTTAGAGCACAGGAGAGTGAGAGGGAATCTTATAGAAGTGTATAAGATCATGAGAGGCATGGATAGAGTGAACGCACTCAGTCTTTTTCCCAAGGCTGGGAAATAGAGAACTGGAGGGTATCAGTTTAAGGTAAGAGGGAAAAGAATACATGGGAACCTGAGGGACAACTTTTTTTACACAGAGGGTAGTATGCATATGAAATGAGCTGCCAGCAGAAGTGGTTGGGACGGGTACATTAACAACATTTAAAAGGCATTTGGACGAATGCATGGATAGGAAAGGTTTAGAAGGATATGGGCCAAGTGCAGGGAAATGGGGTTAGTGTGGATGGTCATTTTGGTTGGCATGGACCAGTTTTGGGCTGAAGGGCCTGTCCCAGTGCTGTAGGACTCTATGACAAAGTACATATTTTGTTTAATTCATCCATAGGGAGCATGGCTATGACTGGCTAGGCCTGTATTTATTGCCGATTCCTAATTGCCAGAGGTCAATTAAGAGTCAACTACATTGCCGTGAATCTGGAGTCACATGTAAACCACATGCCAGCTCAGCTGGATAGTTGGTTTATGGTGCAGACTTTCAGCTTCCTGGGAAGTCCACTTTACTGAATACTTAAGTCAGTGGAAAAAAAAAACCAAGTCCTGAAAGGGTTCCTGGTCAATCATGAGTCTTTAGGCTGTCCATCTTTTCACAACCAGGTTTTCCAATAATTAAGAGCCATAAACTCCATCGCGAACTTCCTGAAAGCTTTGCTTGTCTTTTCTCCAAACTCATTTAATTTTTCTGGAAATGGCAGGTGTCTTACAACACACATTGAAGTGTTGATTTCATTCCTTAATAAAACAATATGATTAAGCTCTTTCCAATGTAGAAAATGTCAACATCTTGGAATTTTTCACATAGGGTGTAGTCCTTAAATATTTTTTAATCATTCATGGGGTGGGGGTGTTGCTGGTTCCGCTGCACCATCTGTAATTGCCCAGAAGGATGTTAATGGTCAACTACATTCCTGCAGGTCTGGAGTAGAATGTAGGCCAAATCAGTGAAAGATGGAAGTTTCCCTCCCTAAAGGACATTAGTGAACTAGATGGGTTTTTCCCAACAAACAACAATGGTTTTGGTTCATGGTCCATCATTAGACTCTTAGATTCCAGATTTTAACTGAATTTAAATTCCATCACCTGCCATGACAGGATTTGAAGCCAGGTCCCCAGAACATTAATCCAGCGATCCAGGCAATCATCCAGCTATCACACCATGAGGCCATCCTAAAATATACGTATTTCCACAACTCTCCTTCAGTAAGGAGACACTACACCAAACATGGTCTCACCAGTGCCCTGCATAGCGTAACAAACTTTCTTACTTTTAAACTCCATTCCACTTGCAATCAAAGCCAAAGTGTTAAATTATGTTTAACGCGTCATAAGAGTATATGATGTTAAACTTGGAAACATTTTAAACAAAATAAATTCAGTCAAGAGCAACACTTCAGTTCAGGATACTGGCATCAAAATTTGGCAAAGAGCAAAATACCTTACTCCCTCTTTTACTATTCCTTAACCTTCATTCAAATTGAAAGTGAGATGCTAACCGAAAATTTCAATTGCTCTGAAGTGAATGGAAAAGATCCCACAACCCTACTAGGAGAGTGGGGACGTTATCTTTGATGACCTGGACCAAATATTTATCCATTAACCAATATCACTAAGACAGATCTGGTCATCAATAGCATTGCTGTTTGTGATATCTTGCCATACACAGATGTTTAATATTGATTACATTTCAATGGGATTTAGTTGGTTGTATAGCAATTTGATATGTACTGACATTGCAAATGTGCTATTAATACAAGTGTTTGACACTGACTACTGCAAACATTTAATAGATGCACTCTATTCGAATCAAAACCAAATGCATGACCTAACTTTGCTTAATTATGTTATTTAGCGCAAGATACATTAACTTTCACAAGTTTGTTGGAGAAATCACTGATCTCCAAACACGGAATTATTTTCATGATTTGTAGGAATAACTTCAAAGAATAAACTCATACCTTGATATTTTGAGCATCTACATTAGCCCCAGCCTCTAGCAGCAAACTGATCACGGTGGTGTTTCCTGCCAGCACTGCCCAGTGTAATGCTGTGTTCTTGTGGTACTTGTCCCCAAGACTCACTGACACATTAAATGTGAGCAACAGTCTTGTGGGATCCACACTGAAATGCAGAAAACAACAATAATGTTGCTGGTTCAACAGGCTGGGCATCAGCTCCAGTAAAACAAAATGAGAAAATCAGCCTTGAAAAATTGGACAGTCATCTTTTTTGGTAAGATTTTAAAACAATTCTAGTCTTGCATTTATCAACAATGAAAAGGTTATTACAAAAAGAACACTACAAAGTTCTCATACTGATGGTGATACAAAATTTTCCACTTTAATCAAGATAATAACATTTGAAATTTATAGGTAATTCAAAAAAATATAATAGATAAATACAAGACACTGCTTCACAATTTTCAGACCACAAACTTGATAAAGTTATAAGGTGGGGCTACTTCTCTCAAGTAATTTGGGAAGAAGCGTGGAAGGAAGCTAGTAATGGCAACAAAAGACAAATTCTCAGCCATTCATTGCTATTTGCCCCACATCACAGGCACAGGAGCAGGCCATGCAGCCTCTTCAGCCTGTTCCATCAAACAAGAAAAGGGGGTGTCCAGAAAAATGCACAAAGCAGTAGGGAATAAAAATATACACTGATACAGTGAGGTGAAATAGGGTTATGGGACATCCTCATGCGCGCACTGTTTCTTTACTTTCCTTCAGTTGCATGTTATTGTGGGTAACTCACCTCAACAGTGCTAAACGGAAGTGCTCATCTGAAGCACTTTTGAGGATATGGCCACACAGAAGGATACGATAGCACTTTGTATTCACACAGAGTTTCAATGCAGTAGATACAGTGTAGAATTTACATAGTTTTTTTTGCACAAACAATGTAATATTACCATTTTGGGGGGATGGAGGCAAATACAGAGAAATGAAAATTGCATACCATGTAAAATGAAGACAAAAATAAAACAACAGTTAAAATGAAATTGAATAAAGGTTATACTGGGTTAACATATAGTATCTGAAGGACTCAGGCCAGAACTGGGTTGAATCTATTGTTAGCTGATCTCAGTCAGGGTGTGCCTTTGAGGGGCTATGACCAGCACTAGGAAACGCTGAGCCAGACAGGGAATAAAAATGGACAGTTGCCATTTTTCAATTCTAACACTGTCATCCCTGCGAGATATTTGCAAATCTAAACATTTGGTGAGGGCAAGGCTGGGCTTGGTTTTACCTCTCATGCATGAATGGCTCACCGGCACTTGCAGTCTAGATTCACAGATGAACCACAACCACACAGACACAGTACCAGAGTGTATCTCTCCAGCGCCTAATTCACACAAGATGCAGTCCCAATACCCTTGGAAAGGGAGCAGCTGAAGTGGGGGGGAGCGGAGAAGGGGTGGTGGGGTGTTGGAGGAGGAGGAGGAGGAAGGAGGAGACTTTCCCAACACAGGAGATCGGTCAGCCTGTTTCTGTGCCAGCTCTTTGATGGAACTATCAGATTTGAGCCTCTCCACTTCGCACTTTCCTCAACTGCATTTTTGTCCTTTACAAGTGCATATCTTATTCCACTTGGAAGTTATTATTGAATCTGCTTCCAACATCATTTCAGACAGTGCATTCCAGATTATAGCAACATGTAAGTGCAATACCTCAATCGCCACTTAGCTAGTAAGTGGCAGGACATGTAAGAGTTGAAACCGTTCTAACCTGTGCGTTCTATAAGCTGCCCACATCAATGGTGTCATTCCATTCTGGTCCATCATATCTACATCCTGAAACAAGTGATCAAAATAAATATTTGAAGAGGGTAAATCCAAGTACATTATTAGTGTTTTTTTGTTGCTGTTAATTTCACAGTCATTTCAGCTGCTACAATTAACACTAAACTCAAATCTGACTTCCCCAAAGTAGGGAAAAGTAGTAGGGGAATCTCGAGGAAACTTGAAACCAAGTTTTGATAGAAGCCTAACATCATAGAATCACAGACGATTACAGCGCAGGATACTATTCAGTCCATCACATCTGTGCTCGCTCTCTGATAGAGAAATTTACCTACTACCACTTCCCTGATTTCTTCCTGTAACCGTCTACAGTCTCCCATTTCAGATAACAATCTAATTCCCTTTTGAAAGATTCAATGAGCCTTGTCTCTATCAAACTGAGGCAGCAAATTACAGATCCGATCTGTTCACTCCATGAAAACATTTCTCCTCATATTGCAATTATTTCTGTTGCCAGTTACAGACGTAATATAGCCTTTTGTTCTCAATCCCTCCAATGGGTGCACCTTCATATGCCATTTAATAAAGTCTAGGTTGCTTTACTGAGCCTCTCCCAAAACATCCAGCCACCTTTAATGATTTATGCATATTTAAACCCATCATCCCTCTGTTCCAGCATCCTCTTTAGAATTGTATCCTGGATTTTGTTTTGTCAGTGTTTTTCATCCAAACTCTTCACATTTCTAATTTCTCCACTGATCAATTTTATCTCTGGAAATGAATTGCAGTGTTTTGATTCTTATTCTGGCCTCTTAGCCAGCACTGATTTTAGATATTTGCATACTGCTCTGCCAGATGGCTCTGATCTAAATTTAGACCGCAATCCAGTGGTCTGTGGCCTCCAGTTCCTTCCAAGCCATATTAAAATTAATTTGCAAATTACAAAGCCATTCTGTATATGTTTAATAATGTCTTCCTGATTGTTGTTACAATCCACTATGTTAAATACATCCTTTTTGCCATCTTTTTCAAACTTTGATCTTGTCAGTCAAATTCATTTATTTAAGTTGCAAACAAGTAGCCCAGCACAGCTGCCTATGGAATAAGATGAAACATTTTGGGGTTCTGTATCCTATGTATTACTTTAAAATACAAACTTGCATTTGTATAGTGCCTTCCAATGCCACCCGAAGCATCTTAGTGATTTGCAGAAAACGAAGTACTTTAAGTATAGACTCTGTTGTAAAGTTGGAAATGTAGCAGCCTTATTGTCTATAGCAGGCTCCCAAATCAGCAATGTCCAGATGATCTGTTTTTGTGATGTTGATAAATAATGGCTAGAATTGGGTATGTAAGCTCACCCAATGGGTGAAAAAACAGCCCAGTAGAACACTAAATTATTACTAATCTAACTGAGTAGCATTAATTTAGCAACTCAAGTACAATGTGCGAAAGTGAGAGGTTGACCACTTTAACAGAAACAGCACAGACAATAACTCCCATGTTCTACTAAATACTACCAACAAAAAACGGTCAGAAAATGACCAAAACTTTTAGAAACGTCATCAGAAAGATACAAGTAACAACTCCTTAGCACTGGATATAAATGCTGTCTCCCAGTAATGTCAAGTATGACTGTCACTACAATTTCAGGGCTATCTTCAATTGCTCATATTTAGCTTTTTAATGATCTATTTACAGGAAAAAAACTGTCAGAAAAGCTTTTTTCTCCAATTGCACAAATTTGCTCTCTGCAAGACTGATGTTGCAAATTTATCCAGAAAGGGATTCCAAAATGTCACCAATTCAATCAGACTTTCTAAAGCCTTGGTGGAGTAATCTGATTCAGACTTTTCTTTGAACAGCTGTGTCATTCATTGAGATGACGAGTTTACCACCTACTCCATATATGGGTCATAATATCTCTGAACAGGTTGATTGGAAAATATCTCCAACAGTCAGAACATCAACATGGTATAAGCCCGAGTGTTATTATCAACTGCATGTTCCTTAGCCCTTCACATGATATCACTGTCACATTATCACAGCCAATAAAAGTGTGACAGTTACAGCTAATTCGCAACAATTGAGAATACGGTAAGACTACAGTGTGGCAAGATGCACTCTACCATATCCCCAGATTCTAATTTGACTAAGTCCCAGAAACATTTTCGCACGAGGGGGAAGAGGGCTGAGAAAACAAAAGAACTCTCAGATGATGCAACATGTACTGTTGGGAGCCTGTGATTGAATTGCTAAATTTGACAACCTAAATCAGCTGGGAACGTCAGATATAAACAGAATTTCACATCCTTATGTAAGATAATTTGCTTTTATGCAACTTAACCCAGCTTGGTCCTCTGACATATATCACATACTTCATCCTCTTCCAACAGAGTTTGATTTCTGCTGTTCACACAGGGAACTTTGTCGATCTACTTCCTACCTGGAACTGAAGCAACCAAATCTGCTTCAGACGGAGCTCTGCCACAAAGTGAGATTTATGCTGTTGGTCATTCATTTGCCACTGTTTTCTTCACTGTACCTCACCATCTTTAAGTGGTGGCTGAGTAGGAACGTTTACATTTGACAATTTCACTGAACTAAATGACCAATTAATTTCTCACCCTTCAAACCATTAATCTTAAATGTGATTTACTTTGGAAGGTTGAATTTGAATGCAGAATACAGGGTTAATGGCAGGATTCTTGGCAGTGTGGAGGAACAGAGGGATCTTGGGGACCACATCCATAGATCCCTCAAAGTTGCGACCCAAGTTGATACGGATTTCAAGAAGGCGTATGGTGTGTTGGCTTTCATTGGCAGGGGAATTGAGTTTAAGAGCCGTGACTTTATGCTGCAGCTCTATAAAACTTTGGTTAGACCACACTTGGAATATTGGTTCAGTTCTGGTCGCCTCATTATAGGAAAGATGTGGAAGCTTTAGAGAGGGTGCAGAGGAGATTTTACCGGGATGCTGCCTGGACTAGAGGGCAGGTCTTATAAGGAAAGATTGAGGGAGCTAGGGCTTTTCTCATCGGAGCGAAGAAGGATGAGAGGTGACTTGATAGAGGTGTACAAGATGATGAGGCATAGATAGAGTGGATAGTCAGAGACTTTTTCCCAGGGCAGAAATGACTATTACGAGGGGGCATAATTTTAAGGTGATTGGAGGATGGTATAGGGGAGATGTCAGAGGTAGGTTCTTCACACAGAGAGTGGTGGGTGTGTGGAATGCGCTGCCAGCAGTGGTAGTGGAGTCAGATACTTCAGGGACTTTTAAGCGACTCTTGGATAGGCACATGGAGAAGAGTAAAATGTAGGGTATGCAGGGTAATTTAATCTTAGTAAGATAATAGGTCGGCACAACATCGTGGGCCGAAGGTCCTGTACTGTGCTGTACTGTTCTATGTTCTATGTTCAATGTTCTAAATGGGGCTGAGGCGGTGCAGCAATTTTGGTCGCCCTGCTATAGGAAGGATGTTATTAAACTGGAAAGGGTGGAAAAAAGATATGCAAGAATGTTACTGAGACTGGAAAATTGGCATTATAAGGAGAGGCTGGATACGCTGGGAATTTCCCTCAGAGCATAAGAGGCTGAGGGGGTGACCTTAATAGAGGTTTATAAAATCATGAGGGGGATAGCTAAGATGAAAAGCCAAGGTCTTTTCCCTAGGGTAGGAGAGTCCAAAGCTAGAGGGGCATACGTTTAAGGTGAGAGGGGAAAGATTTAAAATGGACGTGAGGGACAACTTTTTCACAAAGGGTGGTACATGTATGGAATGAGCTGCCAGAGGAAGTGGCAGAGACGGGTACAATTATAACAATTAAAAGGCATTTGGACAGGGAGATGAATAGGAAGGGTTTAAAGGAATATCTCCCAAACACATGCAAATGGGAAATAAAAACTGAAAGAACTACGGATGCTCTAAAAACAGAAGTTGCTGAAAAAGCTTAGCAGGTCTGGCACCCTTCCTCAAAACTGAGGAAGGGTCACCGGAACCGAAACGTTAACTCAGATTTTTTTCTTCACAGATGCTGCCGGACCTGCTGAGCCTTTCCAGCAACTTCTGTTTTTGTGCAGGCAAATGGGACTAGCTCAGTTTAGGAAACCTGGTTGGCATGAACAAGTTGGGCCGAAGGTCTGTTTCCAAGCTGTATGCCTCTGTGACATTAAAACGAAGTTTTTGGAACAATACAGACAAAGACAAGAGCAGAATTCAGAATGAACTGTGAGAACTATCTGAGTATTTAGGTGTTTGTAAAAGATGCTATGGCAGCACTTGCACAAGAGTAGGGGACATGTTCTCATTATTCTGTCCTAATAATAAAACAGATGAATGAATTCTTATCTTGTTGCTGTTTAAGAGAGATTGCTGGGGATGAAGTGCTTGCCATCTTTGCTTATGAATCAACAGTATCAATCCTTCAAAAGTAATTAATGGCTGTGAAGTACATTGGCATACCTTGACAACATGTTAAAATGAAACATCTTTGCTTCTTTATCTTCACTTATTCATTCATCCTGTTATGAAATTGGGTCGAGTATTCATGAACTGGAAGGTCGGAAGTTAGAATTTGTTGTAAAAATGATTGTGGGGAAGAATGCCGTGGGCCCCTTTAAGAGCTTGAGCTTTGTCTGTGCTTGGAAGTTTATAAATGCAGGGGCATAGGGGGTGCCCAAATGGAAACATTTTATATAGAACAGCCAAGCAGCACTTTTTTCCAAAACAACAAGTTTAAATTTGGCAATTAATTTAAACGAAGCACCTAGACACAGAAAGCCAACTAAATTTAAATCTAATGGTGTTGACAACCTGAAACCAATCATATTATAAGAATTTGATTATGTCATTATGGGTATATAAGACAAAGGCATTAGGAAAATCAAGGAATCATCTGCCACCTGCCAGAGTTAGTACCATTCAGTTCTCAGAGAAATCCCATCTAATTAATCAAAGGTACCACGGTATTTTAGCTCAAAGTTCTCATTGAAGGAATTATATAAATAAAACATCCCTGACAGCAGAATTAATGGAAGAAAGGTGTTTGTGAAGAGAGCGGAGATGACAGAATATTCCAGTAGAATTTAGTTTAGTGACGGAATAGTTAGTATAAAGGAGGGAAATTGTTCAGTTTGTTAGCATCTAATTTAATTTGTTCATTGTTAAGGTTAAATAAATAAAGTTACTTTTTTTTTATAAAGTGGATCAGGGATTTCATTTCCTTTAACCACTCTTTTAATAGATTACAAGGGGGAAGACAAATTTCTCTGGGTGTTTCCGGGAGTAATTATTAGAGGGTTCCCCTACTCCTGACAGATTGGGGCTTGTGTTTTAGTTTAATTATCAGAGGGGTTCAGCCATTTGTAACAATGGGATGTGTCACTGATAAGGTCAGCATTTATTATCCATTGCTAAATGCCCTCAAGCACCCACAGTTGTTTTGTTTGCTTTTGGGAGTAGTGATGCGCTGAGTTCCAGAATTCTACCCAATCACTTTGAAGGAATAGCCATATATTTACAAGTCAGGATTGTATGAGACACTTGGAGGGTTAGGAGAAACGGCGCTCCCTTATCCTTCTGGCTGGTAGAAGCCGAAAGTATAGAACATCCTGTCAAAAGAAACTTGGGGAATTGAAAGGCATATTTTAAAAATGGCACATTATACACCATTGGTGGATGGGGTGAATGTTTTAAGTGGTGGATGGGTTGACAGTCAAGTGGGCTGCATCAGTCCCTGCAATGACAATTGTTGTGCTGTTCAAATATACAAACAAAAGTAGGTTGAAAATTACCTGCCCCTTTGCAATCAGGTATGCAACAATAGAAGTATGACCAAACTGAGCGGCGAGGTGAATACAGCTACAGCCTTCTCCATCAATCAGTGATGGTTCTGCACCATACTTCATGAGATGCACAACCATGGACAAGTGACCCTGCCTGCAAAAAAATGACCCAAAAAGCATTTTATGTAAATTATTAATAAGACAAATGTTGCATTATAATTCATACAGGCATTGTTGCAGGTTTATCAAAACTTATGAAAAATTTACTTCTGTATCTTTTAATTTATTCACAGGCTGTGGGTGTCACTGGCAATGTTTATTATCCATCCCTAATGGCCCTGGTGGTGGTGAGCTATGCTTCCTGAACTGCTGCAATCATTGGGATCGAAGTACATTAACAGTGCTGTTAGGAAGGGAGTTCCAGGATTTTGACCCAGTGACAGTGAAGGAAAAGTGATATAGTTCCAAGTTAGGATGGGGAGTAGTGAGGAGGGAACTTGTATATACTGGTACTCTCACGCATTTGATGCTCTTGTTCTTCAAGATAGTAGAGCTTGCTGGTTGGAATGCACTTCTGAAGGAGCCTTTGTGAATTACTACAATGCACCTTATGGATGGTACACACTGCTGTTAGCATGCATCAGAGATGAAGGGAGTGAACGTTGAAGGTGGTGGATGTGGTGTCAATCAACAGGTTGCTTTGTCCCGGATGGTGTCAAGCTTCTAACGTACTGTCGGAGCTCTACCCATCCGGGCAAGTGGGGAATATTCCATCACATTCTAGACTTGTGCCTTGTAGATGGAGAACAATGGGGAGACAATGAAGGGAATTACTCATCATAGGATTCTCAGCCTGACCTGCTCTGAGAAGCTTAAAGTGTGGAAGCAGGCCATTTGGCCCGTCGAGTCCACACTGTAGTCCCTCCAAAAAGCAAATCTAGCTAACCTTCACATCATTGGACTGTAGGAGGTATTCGGAACACCTGGCAGAAACTCACACAGACACTGGGAGAACGTGCAAACTCCACACAGATAGCTGCCCAAGGCTGGAATCGAACCCAGGTCCCTGGAGCTGTGAAGTAGCAGTGCTAACCACTGAGCCACCATGCTGCCTTTCTGTAAAATTATTTGTTCATGGGATACGGACACTGACTGGCCTTGCCAACAATCACATGGCTGTAGGTCTGGAGGACCGCAGATTTCTCTTCCTCAAAAACATCAGCAAATCAGATGGGTTTTGACAATAATTGACAAATTATATAGTTACCATTATTAATTGCATTCAATATTAATGAATTCAAATGTCACCATCTGCCAAGGCAGGCTTCAAATACATGTCACCAGATCATTAGTTTGAGGTACTGGATTTCACACATAATGATATTCCATATGCCACCGCATCCCATTTTTGCCACTTTTGGTCAAATGCTAGCAGAGATTTAACTCAACTGTTAAGTTGATGAAAACATGTTTACCAATACAATTTAAAAAACACTGAACTCTGTGAGGATTCCAGGCTTATATTATTAACAAAATCTCAAATAGTTAAAAATATTTTCACAGAAGATTTCAAGGTTAGAGGGGGGAGAGGGGAAGCTGACACATGTTTTTTAACAAAAGATTCCAATTGATCAGAATTATTCTGGAGAGGTTTAAAATACACAAATCACAAAGTTAGAGATAAGAAATATCTCTTTCTGCCTGCATGACTGTCCTCTGATGGAAATTGGACAATTTGAGGCACTTTGGCAAGACACATTCGTAACAATACTCAATAGTTCTGCAGGCATGATAGGCAAAGAAAACTTTCCACTCCTCACTGCAGCCGAGGTGGTCAGGGGCTCA